TCCTTGAACTCACTTTGTCAAAGAAGTCTCAAGTGGTGCCTGAGGCTATAATCCACTCAAATGGCCTTTCCTTATCCTTCTAAACCCAATCTCCCAATTCTTTATTATCTTAATTAAACCTAGCCCTCCAATATCTATTCCCAGATGACCCCATTCAACCTCCCAGACACTCCCATCAGGATTCTCCCAGGACCCTTTCCCCCAGTCACCCCAGCTTCAAGATCCTCCTTCAAGTCTCTCCTCCTATCACTCCAAACTACTTGGTTGTATATAAGATCCATCTTGGCCACCATTTAGGGGCTAAGACTTCCTCATACCCGCTCATCCTTATGAGTGTCACAAATGTTCAGATTCCTTAAGAGTCTGGCTTGTATGGTTCATCTGTAATAAACCTTGTCTTTGACTGAAGAAGGCTTGGGTGAAATTCTTTCGGGCAGGACCCACATGTCATGATTTTGGGGTCAAGCACCCCTAAGCTTCTAAACCTCAACACCATTTGTGTTACTTTGCACTGGCTTCCTGTCCTGCTTTGAATGTACAACCTCTTCACCTCTACCTTTTCAAATCTCTCTCTTCTTTCAACTCAAATACAATATTCTATATGAAACCTTTCCTAACACCTCCAACAACTATTGTCCTCTCTCAAAGTACCTTGTACTTAACCATTTTATATTTGTTCTTTTTTATGTTTACTCTGTGTATTCTTAAATATATGCTTCTCTTCCCCATGAAAATGTACAAGCTTTGTATTTGTATTCCTAGTGCTTAGCACACTGCCTGGCATATAATAGGCACCTAAGAAATATTTGTTGTTGATTGATTGACTGCATCGAGTCTTAAAGGAATTCAGTGAGACACAGGTGAGAAGGGAATATATTCCAGGTATGAGTATTAGTACTGCAAGGGTAAGAGATGGGTAAAGAATGGAATGAAGGTCAGTTTGGTTGTATTATAGACTAGAGGAAGGAAAAGTTTGCGTTGCAAGTCTGAAATGATAGTCTGGAACCAAGTTATAAAGGTCTTTAAAAGACAAAAGGAATTCTGTTTGATCCTGGAGATGACAGGGAGTCATTGTACTCTGTTGAGTAAGAGAGTGACCTGGTAGTTTTGTAAAAGATGGATTGGCGTGGACAATGACTTGAGGCAGGAGGTGAATTTGGAGGCCATTGAATAGTCCAGTCAAGAGGTGATTAGGGCTTGAATGAAGTGTCAACATTACTGTCCCTTGCCTTTTTCTCTTCTCTTTCCTAGTCCTTCAAATAAATGCCCATTTATAAATTGATACCCCATATAATATGATCCCGATGTCCTTTGCCATCCTGGTTGCCTTCCTTAGGACATTCTTCAGCTTTTCTGCTTCTTCAGTTACAAATATCAGTGGATAGAATCCTGGATCTGAAGTTAGGAAGACCTGAGTTCAAAAGCAGACAGACACTTCACTACTTGTCTGACCCTGGGCAAGTTACTTAATCTTTCTACCTCAGTTTCCTAGAGTATAAAACCTCGCAAGGTTATCATAAGGATCAAATGAGATAATATTTGTGAAGCATTTTGCCAGCCTTAAGATGTCGTGTAAATGCCAGCTATTATTAGTTATTATTAATACTCCTGAAATATCCTAACAAGGCAAAGCCCTTCAGGATAGCATTCCTCATAGTCTTTCATCGAACTTTGCCACTTCTTGGCACTTCTACCATAGTATGGAATGGAAAAGGGTAAAAGGGAACACATTCCAATTATCCATTGTTTGGTGCCGTGCTAACAGATGGGATAAGGGGCTGACCTGTGATTTCATTGCTATTGGAAACTCCCAGATGAGGATTTTCCTACCAATGCAGGTCAACACCTCTGCATGTTAGAGAATTGTCCAAGACAGAAGTGTTAGACATTAGGCCTACTGGGTACCTGTAGACCAAAGTACTCCCCAGTGTGGTGAGAACCAGATTAAAATATAATTGAGAAATATTTAATAAAAAATAAAAATATAATGAAACATAGACAGTTTTAATATGTTTTATAAGTCACTCTGCACCTGCAAAGATCCTTTTGTACAGTTTAGTGGCCCCTGTTTCTACTAAGTTTAAAACCCACTGGTCTAGAGCACTGAGAGGCTTGCTCAAGATCACATGGTCATTATGTATCAAAGGCAGGACTCAAACCCGTGTCTTCCTGGCTCCAAGGCCAGCTTTATATCCATTATGCCGTGTTTCTTTTCCAGAAGTCGCAGAGAAGTTAAAAATAAAATGTACCGAAAACAATAATAACTGATATTTTTATGGTATACTACAAGAACTTTTCTTTTACCCTGTTTCATTTGATCCTACCATTAAAACAATGAGGTAAGCAGTACTAGTCTTCACAAAATAATTCACAGATAATCGCAGAATATCAAAGTTGAAAGGTCATTTATCTATTATTTACACCATCCCCATTCACAGACCCAGAGAACTAAAATTGCTTATGTAGCTAGTAAACGGCAGAATCAGAATTTATTTTCTGATTCTAAGAATGTCTCTTTCTATTGGACCATTATGTCTAATTCACAGATGAGGAAATTGAGGATCATAAAGGTTAAGTTATTATAGCTAACTAACATTTGTATAGCACTTAAAGTTTTGTAAAGTATTTTACAAACATTAACTTTAACCTCACAACCTTGGAAGGTAGGTTCTATAATTATCTCCATTTCATTGATGAGGAAACTAAAGCAGACAGAAGTTAAGTGATTTGCACAGGGTCCCAAAGCTAGCAAGTGTCTGAGGTAGGATTTGAACTCAGGTTGCATAGAAGATAAGTAAAAAAGTAGAAGAGAAACATCAGTCTTCTGACTGAAAATGCAGGGTTCATTCATTATACCACAGTAGCTGGCCAGGAAGTATACAAATTATCAATTGCTTTCAAATGTTGATTGAGAGTTGCCTATTATTATTATTGTTGTTGTTACTATTAATTATCATTTGAGTCATGTTTTAGTCCTGGAAATGCAAAAATAAATGTAACAGACCTTGGTCCTTTTTTTAGGGCAGTCTTTCCGGATAGATGGCAAAAATAATAAAACAAATTCTTGGCTACTAACCTCCAGGATAGTGCATAAGTAATTATTTCCAGAGTTGGCTAAATGGTTTCATGAATGCAATTGATCTCCTGCATCATCCCTTCCTTTCCTTTGAGTGGCATAGCAAATATGCAATGCTAATTTTAAAGAGGGAGGGAAGGAAGCACCGAAGGAAGGGAGAAAGTAAAGACTAAGAGGGAAGGAAGAAAGAAAGGAAGACACTTCCAGCAGATAGAATAAGCTTTGTATTTCAACTTGGTGCTGTTATTTGCAAAAGTTAGAAACAAATCCCTTTACCATTCTGTGACTTTTTTATTCCATAAATCTAATACCTATTTTCTGCTTTCTTCACAAGACTGGTCATCTGTCATTAAAAAAAAAGAAAGATAGTTTACAAACTCAGATTGGAAGATTTACAATGATGAATTTAAAAATGTGTTGACAAAAGGAAAATGGGTCTATTTTAATTCTTCAGGTAATAAGGGAATGTCAAATGAAGTTGGAGTGTGTGATGGCAGGTAACCAAATGTGCAATGTTTGTGTAACTTCCAGCTGCTGTTAGGTTAATCATTCCTGGAAATGAGTGTTAGATTCATGAGATTTGCCTAGCTAGAGGAAGAAATCAAATAGCCTATATAAAAATGATCAATTCCCAGCCCTTATTTTTATTTCTTAGGCTTTTGCTACTCTTTGTGTGTATGCATGTATTCATGGATGATGATGATGATGATGATGATGATGATGATGAACTTACCTCACATCAGCTCACAAAGTCAGGGTAACTATTGTACCAAAGGCCTAACAGGAGGTTGAGGATTTTGTTCTAAGCTGAAAATCAAAATAGGGCAAAGTAATTTGTGTAGCAATGGCTACTTGTCAAGAATAACTGTCATTAAAATTTCCATAAGCTCCAGTGAAATTGATGTTGTGGGAAAGGCTTCGGGAGGGTCTATTACAAAGCACAGTGAATTTCTTCCCAATTTTCCCAGCCAAGTTTGGAAAATCTTAAAAGATCTTTTTCCCCCCTTGGGCTCTTCCTCTGCCCACAGGCCAAAGGTCTATCTCTATTCATCCCCATGTATTCAACATTTGAATCCAGGAGCATATGTCAGCTGAGGCTGAATTCTCTCCTCTGGTCAGAGTACCACCTTAAAAAGCAGCCAAGAGCAGAGAAGATGAAAAAAAAATAACAAAAAGAGAAGGAAACTAGCAGGCATCACTCGCAGACCCTCTGATATAACCAACTGAGTTTACTGAACAGAAGAATTGGTCTGGCGTCATTGTTCCAGTTTTTCCCAATGTTGCAGGGTCTGATTTGCATTAGAAACCTCTGCATTCAATAAACAAAAATAGGGATAATAATGACCGAATCGCTGTTGGAAACACAAACCAAACTCAAGCAATGAACCCTTTGCGCTGCCTTAATTGAAGATTTTACTGAAGGAGCCCTCACTTTGGTCAGGAGGCTCATTGGGCTTTTAATTTTACTAGCCTCACTCAAAACAAAAGGACCACGGCTTGCGTGTGTGTGTGTGTGTGTGTGTGTGTGAATGTCAGATCTGTCACACAACGGGCTGCAGCCTTCTTCGTGCATTCTTCACATTGCAAGCCCATCAACAAAAGGAGGAAGAAGATCTGAAGGGAACGAGCGGTTTTTGCGGGCTGGGCGATGGAGAATTCCTCTACATAAACAAGAAGGTTTGGGTTGGAAGTCTGCTAAAAAAAATGTTAGAGCTGACCACAAGGTTGTAAATCCACAGACTGGAAGGAGGAAAAGAGAAACATTGCAAGCGACTGAAGTGTGTGTGGCTGCAATGTTTGTGGGTTAGATGAGAAACAAGCGCTGAGTGAACCAGGGAGGGGAGGGGGGCGGGGGGTGGCTGGTGTGATTTGTTTGGTAATCAGAGCCAATAGAAAGCCTAGATTGTGATAATATACCCATGCAGTGACTGAGAGGAGTCAGAGCTAAGACTCCAGTGCTCCTTTTCACGTCTGTAGCCGGAGACAGCCTGAGACCGTGCAAAGCAAGGCACGGTCTCCCATTTCCAGCTCACTTAGCCTGTGCTCTGTCTTATGGGCATCTGCCGCAGCCTGGCTAAGGCAGAGCTGAACCCGGCCGCAGGAGATCAAACTTAGGCGCCCCTTTGGACTATATCACCCCCAGAGGAGGGAGAGAGAGCGAGAAGAGAGCTGAGCAGAGAACTCCAACAGCATTGCAGGTACGAGCTCATCACAACTCATCTGGCACGGACATGGTTTCTCACTCGCACGTTTTCTGTAGGTTTTGCTCGGTTCTTGCCTTTGCCTTTCCTTAGCTTTTTAGAATAGAACACATAGAATAACTCTCTCATTTCATTCACCCTATATTGTATGCTGTTGACATCCACCTATTGGATTTTCAGGGAGTGTGAATTACATACCTGCAAACTTAGCAGTGTCTTCTCCACCCCCAATACAACCAAGAGATATGCTGTCATGATACCTTTTTGGGGGGGGTGGCACATATTGATGTCCTAGATGATAATTATGTGTAATAGGAAGCAAATAGCTGTCTGACTTCTGTAAAGCAACCTTTTAACATTCCCTGTGGTTTTATTATGTCAAGTTACTATCAGACTTACGTAATCCTCCTGATATAATCAGCGAAATGGAATGACTTTTGCTTGGTTTTGAATCGAATAGGATGTGTTAAGATGCGCTAACTTTATACATATAATGCTCTCCTTTTGTTATAGAAGTTGATAAAAAAATTTTTTTTAAGTTTTTTTCCAGTCCTCTCTTCCTGTGCGCCTGAATCGATTTTTAACATTTGAGCTTAAGATAGATTTTCATTCTATATCTCCATATAGAATGACTTCAAGGAGATCTGGGATTACATTTACAATTTAAAGACTGGGCATACTGATTAATATAATACTTCCAAGGAAATGCCAAGGATGAGTTTGATATTGATGCTAACATGAGAAGAATCTTTGACTTTTGCTGTTGTTGATATGGAGGTTGTAAAAAGAAAGGAAGAGAGTATTGGTAGTTTACCGATGACTAAATTATTTTTCAGTTTTTTGAATCAGGTGACTACGTAATTTCGTTTTTGTCTGTGGATTTCTCAGGGTAAAATTAACAGTTCATTGTAACTCCAGCCTTTCTCAACCAAAGGCAGAACAAGCTGAATGAAAGCTCAGTTAAAAGCCTGCTTTGAATGCTTTGAGTGACTCTGGAGTACATGTGCTCAGCTGCTTTGAATCTCTGTAGAAAGAGTAGCTCCTGCAGTGGGAAAAAAAAAATACAGATTAGGTAGGATTGACTCCACAGTCTTGCAGAGAATGGTTCCTGCAGCAGGTGCAGCTGCAAGTCCAATGCGTTCTCCGAGGCCTAATTAGCACTTTGCATAGCAGACCCCATCCAGACCCCTGCATGCTTAATGCACTGCAAATTTCCCATCTGTTTAGAGCTTCAGCCAGTGCTTAATTCAGGTGTCATCCCCATTCAGTGCCACTTGCCTGTCCAATGATGAGAAGCAAGTCTTGTCAATGATACTTGTTTCATCTGCCTTTGCACATTCAGGAAGGAGAATTTGTATTGTTGTTACCTTGACCTAGATTCTTCAGACTAAGGCTTCTCTTATTTATGCAGGGAAACTCTGGCTTAGCTATTATGTAAATTGACTGAAAGCTGTTCCCATTCTCCATTAATAACTACTCAGTTTGATTTGATAGAGTCTTACTGAATTCCACTAAAAAGATATTTTGTTGGAGGGAGGGAGAGGAATAGATGGAAAGTAAATTCTCTTTTGGGGGGTTATCAGCATTGATCCATTATTTTACTCTCTATGCATCATAAGGGTTTTTTTTTATTAAAGAAAACTTAGTGGCAAGAGGGCAATTGACAATGCAAATTAATGTAGCTAAGACCCAATCAAATACTATCAATTGAATCTAATGGACACGTTTTTTAGTATATATAGTATACTCTTAACCATAAGTAGATTATGTGCAATAAATTCATACTACAACACATACAAAGTAATGAATTACTAACAATGCAACAAAGTTGGAAGGTGTTGAGGGCTCAGCGCAGAGGGAGTGACTCTGAATGTCAGAATCTTCTCTGACAAAATACTTCATGCCTTGATTTTGTAATGTGTGTATCCAAAACTAGCCTATGTGACCTTGGATAAATCCCTTAACCTTTTTGAGTATTGGTTTCCTCATCTGTAAAATAAGGATTAGAAGATCACATATTTACATCTGGAAAGGACCATAGAGTCCATCCAGGCCAACCTCCTCACCCAGGGCCACACAACTAGTAAGAGTCTAGGGCAGGGGATTGGACTAGTGGATTTAAAAGACTTTTTCAAGCCCTAAAACCCAATAATCGGCAGATTGTCGGTTGTTTTGTATTATTTGTACAGTTCTCCAATGGGATAAATAATTCATAGAGTTGACTACAGTTCTATTTCACAGCCAGCCACAGCTTAAACTTGAGGCTTCCTTGAATTGCTAGTGAGGTAAAGTTTAAACAATGTACACTCCTTCAAATCTGCTATAAAATAAACACTTCCTCCCTCAGCTTTCTCCCACTGGAACAAAGAAAGAGCATTAGGCTCTCAAACTTAGCATGGTATTCTTATTGATATGAATAGAACTGACATACCTGGTCAAGGACAGAGTTACTCTGGAGGGTTGTGGAGTTTTGGGTACACTATCAGATAAGGTTGGACCTTCCAATCTGCTACATGCAGGAAAACTTTTATATTTGTTTCCTCCTTGTTGGGGGTACTTTAAGAGTTGGGTTTGTGGGCACTGTGTTTAAAGCCATGATTTATTGTCTTGGCCAGGATAAATTCGACAAAAATTGTGCCTGTGGCAGGAGGGGAAAGATGGAAAAGGGGTGAACACAAAATCATGTTTATGAGAGAGTGCTTATATGACTGTAAATTGTCTTGGGCTCCCTTTCTTATTCCACCACTCTTTTGGTAGTGGACTTCCTTATTTTCACCTCATTGTCTATGTAATGAGTCTTGTGAATGAAATGGGGGGGAAGAGATGAGAAACAACCATTTATCAAGCACCTAATATGTGCCAGACACTGTGCCACGCATTTTGCAAGTATTATCTCATTTTATTCTCACAACAACCCTGAGACCTAAGTGCTATTATGATTCCCATTTTTACAGTTGAAGAAACTAAGGCAGGTGGAGATGAAGTGACTTGCTCAGGGTCTCACAGCTAGTAAGTGTCTGAGGTGAGATTTGAATTTAGGTCTTTTTCACTATGTCCATTGCTCTTATTCACTGATCCTAGTTGCATTTTACCATTCCTACTAAATAAAATGTTAAACCACTCCTCCTGTTAGTAAATGGCTTTGGGGCCATGGAGAGTATGCTAGTCAATGACATTACTCTAGGGTTCTTGCACGCATTCTTCAAGTTATTTTTAGCTCCCATTGTTCATTTTGTAAAGTGCTACATGTTTGTGTTGTATGAATTTTCCTTTCTGAGTTGGATACCTTGAATGTTTGTGGAGTTTCAACTGTCTACTGAACCAGATCCTATTGGGCAAGGCCCATCGATTGGCATTTGGCCAACCAGTGTCATTCAGAAAACGTACTTTACTTAAGCACTTGTTTGAAGAGCTATGTCCTATGTCCATTTGTGGATGAAATATTCACAGAAGGATGTTGCATACAAGATGTTTCATTTATTTATGACATGACAGTAGGCATCCTCACTCTCAAAGCAAGAGGTAAAAGGATTAATGAGTATGTAAAAACAAAACAAAACAAAACAAAAATCGTCACCTGCAAGGAAGACCACATTGGAAGATTACCTGAGACAATAGAAGTGGGAAAATTTTATTGAAGCATTTACCCCATCATGCACAGGTGGGCAGTTAAATATTATCACTTGATTGTGACAACACATACACATAAAGACCAGGAGAGGGCAGTCTTCCAACTCTCAAAAGTGAGTACTACTCTAGTTGGCCATAGAGAGTAGAGAAACAGCTCTGTTTCCAGCCAATCTGAACATTTTCTGCCCTATTAAACGTACCCCTGTTGCTCCTTAATGTCAAGTGCAGTTAAGTTTCTTTTATTTCCCCAAATGGTATTAGCCTTGTCTGCCAGAAAAAGGAAAGTGAGAGACACTAAAAATAGAGCTAGCTTTACTTATGCTTTGTACATACTTAGCTTTGGTCTCTCCCTGCTGCTTTGCTGTTTGTCTTCTTCATATCCTTTTAATGGGGAAATGGAGAAAGAAAGGAGGAAGGAAAAGGGGAAAGAGAAGAAAAAAGGGGCTTCTTAAGCTGACCTTTAATGGTAGATGGTCTCAGCAGCCATGGACCAATGCCACTTCTGGCATTGGATCAATGTGAAATATACATTTGCAGAAGATGTGCTGAGTGCGTTTTCATACCTCTGGTAGTCACCAGTACCTAGGGTACTGCTTGTTTGTTATATTGAGTTTGGGATAACCAGAAGCAGGTTTTTGACAGTGGTTTTAGGAATCCTAGGCATATTTTCCCTAGAGTATGTATAGTAGGGAGTTGTAATTTCCAAGTATCTGGAAGATGATAGATAGCCAATCTTAATGTTAGAGCAGAAAAAGTATATGTGTCTCTTTTTCCTTTTCATAATCTCATAGTCTAACTGATTACTTTCCTTTTTTGCCTCCACATTTCTGGATCAGTCATAAGTCAGAGTTAACTAAGAAATGTCAGGGTTGAAATGGAGGGTAATTGTCATTAATGTTTATGACATTATGTTGCTCCATTCAGTAAATAGTCTGATATTCTGGTAGGTTAGTGCCAAGGTTTGGGAATATCACTCTTTCCTCTTTTTCATTTCTAGATCAGGCACTATAGAGTAAGGAATCCCAATATGTCTAATAGAAGAAAGCTTTAAAAAGTCTTATGATCCCACAGAGATTCTAGTGGAAAGAACTAGAATTTCTCCTGATCCAAAAGAGAGCTAAGGGGAATTCATAAGATACAATAATAGAAGAGAAGCTCCAGAAACTTACACAGAGGTGAATTTTGAGAGGTCTGGAAGTCTCAGGATCCTTTTGAAATGGCCAACACCAAGAATATTGTGATCTTTGTTTTTTGCACTCATGTTGTTAGGAATGTGACACACACACACAAATGATTTTTTGTTTTTGTTTTTTAGGCAATTGGGGTTAAGTGATTTGCCCAGGGTCACACAGCTAGTAAGTGTCAAG